TTAAAATCAAAGTGCCTGTAAATAGAAAGCCAGTATTGAACTTAGGTGGTTACTTTCAGCATCCAGAGGAAGTGTCTCATCTTCATCGTAGGCTCGTGGGGAGGCGCTGCGTGGGGTCTGCAGTAAGCTAGATAAATCTCCCAGCACTTATTCATGTAATTCATAGAGTAGAGTGTCCACTGTTGCTCACGGAATAAATTGCCTAAAAATACAACGGTCGAAAAATGATTACAGATTTATATTTTGAGGAAAAAAAAATAGCAGTAAATACACTCCTATTGTTTTTCTTTTTTTCCAAGACAGAGTCTTGCTGTTGCTCAGGCTGCAGTGCTTTGGCACGATCTTGGCTCACTGCAACCTCCGCCCTCCAGGCTCAAGCGATTCTCCTGCCTCAGCCTCCAGAGTAGCTGGGATTACAGGCATGCACCACCACGCCTGGCTAATTTTTTGTGTTTTTAGTAGAGACAGGGTTTTGCCACGTTGGTCAGGCTGGTCTTGAACTCCTTGACCTCAGGTGGTCCACCCACCTCGGCCTCCCAAAGTGCTGGGATTGCAGGAGTGAGCCACTGCGCCCAGCCCAGATTTATATTTTGAGAAAAAAAAAAAAAAATGGGGCCGTAAATCGAATCCTATTGGTTTTGTATTTACCTTTTATCTGGTAGGCATTTGGATGAATGTTCTCAGTCATCAGTTTTGTAAAACACAAGAAGAGAGATGGGCTTCTCTTTCTGTGATAATGATCAAGAAATACAATAATTACTTCTCCAAAAGAGGGAAATTAATTCCCTTCTCCTTGAGCACAGGCTAGACTTAATAATTTCTTTCTAATGTATAGAGTATAGAAAGGGAAGGCTGGAGTCAGTGGTTCACACCTATAATCCCAGCATTTTGGGAGGCCAAGGCGGGCAGATCACTCGAGGTCAGGAGTTCAAGACCAGCCTAGCCAACATGGTGAAATCCCATCTCTACTAAAAATGCAAAAAATTGGCTGGGCTTGGTGGCGGACACCTGTAATCCCAGCTACTTGGGAGGCTGAGGCTGAGGCAGGAGAATCACCGGAACCCGGGAGGTGGAGGTTGCAGTGAGCCGAGATTGCACCACTGCACTCCAGCCTGGGTGACAGAGCAAGACTCCATCTCAAAAAAATAAATACATAAATAAAATTTTTTTTAAAAAAAAGATATAAAACCACTTTTGCTGTAAGAAAGACATGAAATTCTGACATAAGAAAAATTGGTTGTGATTATTTGTTTCTGCATTAAAAACCCCAAGAGATATTTGCAGTATTGAACAGATTCAAATATGAAGGGCTGTCTCTTATACACATCTAGATGTGTATAAGAGACAGAGGTTGCACTGAGTCAAGATTATGCCACTGCACTCCAGCCGGGGCAACAGAGCAAGACTCTGTTTCCAAAAAAATAAAAATGACTGCTGAAGAAAAGAGGGCATTATGACAATAATACAATCTAGCCATGCCCCGTCCCCCAACGGGGGTCCAGAAATAGTACTTACTGGAATTCTTCGTGATAAATGTGGTACGCCAAATGCAGGAGGTAATTAAAAAATGTTCTCAGAAGTATTGTTGCAAATGGAGAATGGATTTCTTCATCTGGTATGTCATTACTGGCTAAAATAAGAAAAATGGAGAGGATGTCTGATATTTGCTAGAACCTTCCATATTATTTGCTCCTGGTATACAATTCGAAGAACTGAATATGAGAAGAGTACTTATTTCAAAATGCTCTGAACATGTATAAGCATCCAACTGAAAATTTAAAACTCCGTAAAAGCCAGGCACGGTGGCTCACGCCTGTAATCCCAGCACTTTGAGAGGCTGAGGCAGGTGGATCACCTGAGGTCAGGAGTTCGAAACCAGCCTGGCCAACATGGTGAAACCCCATCTCTACTAAAAATACAACAACAACAACAACAAAAAAAAATTGCCAGGCATGGTGGTACATGCCTGTCATCCCAGCTACCCAGGAGCCTTGCTTGAACCTGGGAGGCAGAGGTTGCACTGAGTCAAGATTATGCCACTGCACTCCAGCCGGGGCAACAGAGCAAGACTCTGTTTCCAAAAAAATAAAAATGACTGCTGAAGAAAAGAGGGCATTATGACAATAATACAATCTAGCCATGCCCCGTCCCCCAACGGGGGTCCAGAAATAGTACTTACTGGAATTCTTCGTGATAAATGTGGTACGCCAAATGCAGGAGGTAATTAAAAAATGTTCTCAGAAGTATTGTTGCAAATGGAGAATGGATTTCTTCATCTGGTATGTCATTACTGGCTAAAATAAGAAAAATGGAGAGGATGTCTGATATTTGCTAGAACCTTCCATATTATTTGCTCCTGGTATACAATTCGAAGAACTGAATATGAGAAGAGTACTTATTTCAAAATGCTCTGAACATGTATAAGCATCCAACTGAAAATTTAAAACTCCGTAAAAGCCAGGCACAGTGGCTCACGCCTGTAATCCCAGCACTTTGGGAAGCTGAAGCA